TTCCTTTGGGACTGACAGGACTCTCCCATTTGGGGGAAGTTATATTTAAACCTTTCTGTTGTCTCCTCATTTAGAAATGTTTATACCCATAATACATTTAGTACTCTTGCAATTAAGATGGATTTTCTATTTCCTGCCATTGTAAAAACAGGCTCCCTATGGAAATTAAGGAGACTAAAATTAAATCCAAACAATTCCACTGAGATTGATTTTGGACTAGCCTGTCATTTAATGCAGAAATAGGCAGAAGGTGGATTAGTATCTACTGGTACTTCTGAGTGATTTGCAATAGATGAGAAAGTTTCCAACTTCCATAAAAATAGTAATTTTAGGAATAAAACTGTAGTAATTTTAGGAATAAAACTGTAGTAACTCAGATATAAGCTTGTAATTAGTTATATGAGTTATCTCAATGAATTGTTTCAGAGGATAGATCTCAGGGCTACTTGAAAAAGCAAAGACACCAAAAGCCTGAAGTCCGCCCTCTCATGATTTAATATAGGTCTTACCTCTACCAACAGCTGTAGCAGTAAGAAATGCATGCTAATACTAGTGCTACATTAAGCAAAACATAATTATGCTTTCAAAGAGGATGAGCAATTGCACCTTGCACCTAGTTTAGATATGGTTAGATTCTGACAAATTTAACTTTATTTTATATCCTGCCTTTTTTCCTGAAAAGATCCCAAGTATTTACATAGCCTCCGTCCTGTCCATTTTCTCCTCACAAGAACCCCATGAGGTGAGTTAGGCTGAGCATTGTTGACTGGCCCAAAGTCACCTAGTGAACTAACCCTAACCACTACCTCAAACTGGCTTCCCCAGAATCTATATGAAATAGCATTTGAATTAGTTCATGTACAGGAAAATCAATAGTCCACATTCTGCTATAGCTACAGATAATGAAGCAGTGCTGTAATTGTAATGTTTGAAGTGTCAGCACTCCTAGTCACGTCTGCAGGAAGGGCCCACAAATGCAGGAAGTTTTGTTGCTCCATATCTGTGTGCAAGAGAAGCACACGCACACACTCAAGAATTTTCTGGAGGTTCTCTTCCTAGCACCAGAAAGCAACATTTAACTTCCAAGTCAACAAACAGCTTCTAGCAAGTTTCATCATCACTAGGTGCAAGTCTTTCATAAAGCAAATGCATCTTAACTTTTTCTTCAAGATCAAGCCATTCCAAATTATAGTTATTTGCATTACCTGTAGGGCTAGCTCACAACAATAGATTGTTCCCAGGAAAATCCATGCCTCCACGCACCCTCCAGCTACTGCAGGTACTGCAGCTATGTTCAGAGGGAGCAAGGTTAGAGAAGGACCTTCCATGTCTCTACAACACACAACCCAGCTGAACACAACAAATCCTGCGCAAGCCTGCCCTTGGGATGCATGTCCCATCCTGCCAACGCAGCAAGGCCACAGTGAGCATCAAAGTGTGTACTGTAATGTACACTGTAAATTAACATAATATTCAAAATATCCTCTAAGTATTATATTTAACTACAGTTAATATTAAAATACCACCATTGCAGAGATTTGTGGAATCAACTTCATACAACAAGAACTTTATATATATTAGATGTAGAACACACAATGGACTCTCACAACAACTGCTTGGGTATTATTCATTAAATTCAGTTAATAAAATTCAGTTTAAAATACATATAAAAATAACATGATATGCCCAATACCTTCATATAGACGTATTGTCATTTTCACTGTGAACACAGAAATATATATTTTGAATGGCATTTAAATATTCTAGCAATTAAACACTACACAATAGTTTATCTAACATTTTATTTGAAAAATGAACACTTCGGTGTTAAGGTGCAACCACGTTTTTCAGAACCCTGTCCCCGCAATTTAATTACAATTATATGTAATTCTATATTTCTAGACTTGTCAGAACAGGAAGAGAAAGCTTTCTACTACATGCAGAAGTGATGCAAGCAACAACAGTGTTAAAAAGGGACAAGGTACATTTTTGTCAGAGAGGAGTGGGCTCATACAATGCAAACTCACAGCAAAGCAAAGCGTTTACCCTACATAAATATGGTACTCTGCTACAGAAAATATGTCGAAGGTTCTGCATAAATCAAATTCGTACAAGGTACTTCCTGGTAAGGAGAAAGCTGCAAGAAGGAATATTTGAAATTTTCCCTTCCAAATTTATCTAGCCATTTGATAAAATTATTTAACTTTATCCAAATATTTAAAGAAAAACTTTGGACACAAAGCTATAGCATACTTACCAATGTTGTTGGAAATTGTTCTAAAAGCACTTATGCAAGTACCTTGTAGAAAGACTATTAATACTATTTATAGAATAAATGTTTTTCATTCAACTTTTTTAACAATTTAGCTAAATCATCACTTTCTCTACACCTGAAAGATTTCTAGTTTAAAGGTGTAACAGATCCATTTAGTATATGTAAAGAATACATAATTAGTGCCATCTACTGGAAATTGGGGGTCATGATCATTTAGGCTGAATTCCTGCATATCATGCATTAATTTAAAAGAAATTCATCTCTAAATGGATTTTTATTTGTAATTAAAAAGGAAGTTAAGCTAGCAGAGAATTCTTAAAATGCTCTTATAATTTTGTTGTTGCTGTTATATGTCATAAAATCCTCTCCAACTTATGGCAACCCTATGAACAAAAGCCCTCCAAAATATCCTATCCATGAGAGCCCTGCTCAGCTATTTTAAATTTAAAACTGTGCTTTCCTTTACAAGTCAGTCCATCCCATATTTGGTCTTCCTTTTCTTCTCCCTTTGATTTTCCCTAGCATGATTGTCTTCTCCAGGGGGTTTTGCCTCCTTATTATGTACCCAACGTATGACTGCCTGAGTTTTGTCATTTTTGCTTCCAGGGAAAGCTCTGGCTTGATTTGATCCAGGACACACTTGTTTGACTTTCTGTCAGTCAAGGGTATTCACAAAACTCTCCTCCAGCACCAGGTTTCAAGTGCATCCATTTTCTTCCTGTAAGCTTTCTTCACTGTCCAGCTTTCATACCCATACAGAGTGTTGGAAAATACAATAGTGTGGATAACCTTGGTCTCAGTCTCCAGTGAAACATCATTACACTTGATGTCTTATTCTGCTTCCTTCATTGCTGTCCTCCAAGTCTCAGTCTTCTTTGAACGTCTCCATCCAAATTGATGACAAAGCCAATGTATGTAAAATTTCAATTTCTTCACTGATCTAAGAGAGGTAAGTTTTTCTGTAGGTGTGGTTTTTCTTTTCTTACATTCAGCTACAGACCTGCCTTTGCACTTATAGATAACTGCAAGTATTTGCTACAAAAAAGATAATATACTCCAGAAGACTGAAAATGTTTAGAAGGGAACAAAGAAGGAGCAGACTTGGAACAAGAGAAAATATTTTAGACAAAAGCATATGAATACTTTTGGAACTATCTAAATATGTGTTACTTCTAGGGAATTGGGTAATCTTACTCTCCCAGCTCAGGTTTATATATATGTAAATCACACTGCCCCACCATCATCCTATGGGCAAATCATATTATTAATTTCATTTTATTTCATTAATGCAAACTTATATCTATTTCAGTTATGAAAAAGTATATTTAAACAAGAGAAAATAGATGTAAAAATGTTAAATGGGAAACGACAACATTCAGCAAGTCTACTATCTTCCCACCTTTGTGGAGTTATGCCCTCAATTTTGCTTAGCTCTTCTGACTTTGGGGCCCAAGCTCCCTCTACTAGGGAAGAGCCATGGGAAAGGCCACTGCCTTCATGTCTTGCCTGTGGACCTCCACCTGACTAGCTGGCCACTGTGAGAACAGGATTTGGACTAGACCGAACCCTGCTCTGACCTCTCAGGGCTTTTTCTTACATGGGTTCTACCTTTTGCAATAAAGTCTCAGAGGCATAAAGTAGTGAAGGTAATGCAATGCTTAGTCTTATGAATTCCTAGGACAGCACCTCAGTCAAGTGTTGCTTGGGATATTGATTAAATATGGGCATGCAATACTGATTGGTTCATATTTGTACCATTTCTTCCTATGAACCTCTTTAGAAGGGCATGTATAGTTAATTATAAAGAATTTATGCCCCAATTAATGCCACCCTTCCCATTACCAACCCTCATAAATTATGCCATGTTATTCTAGTACGACCACTGTCCCAAATATTCCTCCTATCAATTGCATGAGCTTTTTTTTCCAGTGAATGGGTTTAAAACGTTTTTTAAAAAGGAAAAGAAAACGCTCTCACATCATTGCTTTACTGTGCCTTCCAATATAAAATCCTGCTCCAAGTGGCTAGTTTCTATTGATAATCTTGGTACATCCCTTAGAACTCCAAGAGAAAACTCCAGTAAGAGGTCTTTCTTCATCCCCAGATCCCACTTTGGCTTTCCCCAACTATCTTTACATTTTGCACGCAAAAGATGCTTCTACAGCATTTCTCCAATTTGTACAACTAAAACAAAATCCATTACTTCACATGATACAGGAGTCATTTATTAAATATTACTTGGGACTTCTGCTAAGAAGTGAAAAGAGCAGGAATGATGAGGGCTTAAAAAATGGGATTTTTTTGTTCCTTTAAAAACAGTATGCAATTTTTTCCCATTTTGTAAGAGCAACCATGCCCAAAGGACTCTGTCTCACCATTCTCACATCTCAGTGCTTTTCCTAATCTGCAGTGTGATTTGATAAAAATACAGTGCAGGTCAAGTCAAGGAAACTTTTATTTATAGAAGTACTACATTGTTTTTCCTTTGTTTGTACAGAACTAAAGGTTGTGTCAAATTGAAGGAATCTCATCAGCTATGGGAGCATAAAAACATTTTAAATAAACCTATGAAGTATGATATACTTTAAACAAACTCTTCCAGCTTCAATGTTTAGAAAGCTAAACATTTAGCAAACCTTGGCATATTATTTTCTGTAGCAGAGATGCCCACTCTACTAAGAGGGACCTCCGTATGCATGACCACAACAAGTAGCACCCATTCAACCTGAGGGAAGCCCACAGGCTCGCAGGGCCACTGGCTGGCTCTTGGTCACCAAATGCAGTAGGTTGAATGCAGACATCACTGTAATATCCTCACCAACACAACCAGAGGCAAAGAACAGGGACAAGAGCTGAGTAAGGAAAAAAAAGATGAAAATAAAATTAAAACATCAAAAATGTTAGACACATTCACAGCAAAACTGATGGTTATGATTTTTAAATGAAAAGAAAAATACAGTACTAATATGCATATATTAACTGAGTTTTTCTTGTTCCTTACTTTTGGCCTAGTGCTTGTTTTACCTTTACAATGTAACTTTTTACAGTGATTGTTCTATACCACACAATGAAGCATCTTACTGAAAAGCAAGACCAAAAAAAAGCAAATTGAAAATGACTGAAAAGTGATCACATGAAAAATTCAGAAAGTAAAGATGGGATTTGTCCTTACTATATAAATAGGTTTCACGCATGTTCCAGCTCCCTTAAAAATGCAGGCTACTTTCCACTGCATAAGCAATTGGAATCTTAAAACTGTTTAATACTTGCACCTTCCAAATAAGGATGTGTCAAGAAATGTCTCCAGACATAAATAGAGGAACCATGTCTTGGCTGCATGGAGCACAGTTACACATACTGCAAGGAGTCAGCTGAAATGCAGCTCTTTTTAAGAACATAATCTGATCTAAGTTTAGTCAGAGAAAAGTACTACAGCTCCCAGCATGCTGAGAACTGTTTATATTTTTTCAATCTAAACACACATAGGATTGTACCCTAAAGCAAGCAACCTAAATAGAGTATACCCCATCAGATACTTCTAGTGGTCAAGGTAAGATAAATACATTGTCCAAAGATGCACACATTGTGATATTGTGATAATGATATTCCTAGTCATTTTATAGGCTCACACAGACATTTCCAGTAATTTGTGCACTGGATATAATACAAAATGCTGTACTGGGCTCACTGATTCTTGATCCTAGCATCAGTTTCCTGCCCTGCTAGTTATACAAGTTAAACAAGAGCCACAGGAAGCAATACAAATATACAGCACTGCAAAGTATCACATATGTTTATAAAAACGCAATCAGGGTGACTCTTTATGTGGAACATGCCATCCACTTGCTCCTGCCAATTCTCTGTCATATCATATGGCCAAACAGTATCAGTCTGGGAACCGAGACCAGTACCTGTATGATTCTGAGCATGACCCAACCTTCCCTGCAACCTGTTGACTACAGACATTCAAAGAGCTTCTAGAGGGCCCCAGAAGATAACTGTGAAATTGTCCTTTCCCCTTCATAACTTCTGAAAAATATGGTTCAGCAAGCAAAGACGGATGGCATGAATGGATTTCCATTCCCACTTAATTCCTCTTCCAGGTTTTAGAGACTCTCCCTGTTCCCAGCACAGCTACTTCAAGCTGTTCAGAAGGTCCCTCCAAAAGGCTTTTGATGGAAAGGGAAGGAAGGGGCCAGGAAAGATCTCTTGCACAAAATCTGCTGCCTTTCTGTGCATGCAACCTTTGAATCCAGCTGCTTGCATCTGAAGTATGTGCACATGTGTGTGTTAATTATACAATGCAAATGTATACTTCTATCCGCTCCACTGCTCAAGCAGAGTGAAAGTTGTGTGTTGCCACTTCTACACTACAAAATGGCCATCGGTACATGCATTACTAAATCACTTTGGAATACAACCAACCAAAAAACTGCTTGCATTAACAAGCCTGAACTCTGACTTCAAAACTACAGAACCCAAACATGTGTATGTTATTAAATGGAGACAAAAGTCAGGTTGGGGGTGGTGGTGAGAGGGAGAAGTACCACAATGAACAGCCTGAGAGAACCATTAAACCTAAATAAACATGTCATTTTCACGAGTAACTGCAGAACTGCTTTTGTGTTTCCTTTTTTTAGAAACACACATGCACACAGAACATTCCTCTGGAGCAGACTACTGGCTAATAAAAGATCAAAGGTCTATGCATACCAAGCACACAAATAAAAATGTAATTCCCCACCCCCCCTACAACCTTCACCACGAGGAATAAAAGTGTGCAGTGAAAACGTAATTACCTAGTAAAGCTGCAGTCTTATTGTGTTCCCACAGCTGATCATAAAACGTCTTCCTATTCTGTCTCATAAAGTGTAGTACCAGGCAGCCTGTGCGCCTGCCAATCACAGCCATCTGGCTTGTGTCAAAGCCTGTGAGTCAAGCAGCTACAGTGCAACAGGAAGAAAGGCAGTAATGTCACTCTTCAGGTCAGGCAAAGAACAAAGATGTATTCTACCATTAAAAAGCTGGGTGCCCCAGGAGCAGAGGCCTCTAGCATGCTTTGACTTACTGATTTATGACTTGTGCCATTTCCTCACTAACTAAGTAGCAGAGCGCCATCTAGTGGTTAGTGGAGCAAACACAAGAGTTGCTAAAGCTGGTGCTAAAAGTTCTGAAAATTATGTTTTGATACTAATGAAGAATACAAACATTGGTTAGTTTACTCTTAGAAAACAATTACATGCTCCAGATTAAATAAACCCATATGTTATTCGCAGTGTTACTTGAATGAAAGCTTTTCTAAATTTGCCTGGAAATTCTGGAGTATGGGTGTACCATTGGTTTACCATCATCCAGATAATACAGGTAAAAGAGAAATCCCAAAGGTGCTTAGAAAAGAGGCTGCATCAGATTTTTGTAGCATACCCATGCCTGTTTTATTTATGCTATCCTTTGTATCTCAGCCTTCAATTAAACATTTACAGCTAGTTTATCATAAATGTATGCTTATAATTCTGGCCTTCAGGTAACTGGCATCTTGTGTAACAAAGGAAGGAACAATTATGGCATTTATTCAAGGGGATTACTTCATAGTCAGACTGTGGTTATGAATTTCTTTCTGTTGCAGTTACCTTTTCCAGGTTAATGTTCTTCTAGGCACAGTCACTGAGGTGGGAGAGACGTCAAATATTATCTAGTCCAACCATTGCTTGATTCAGGAAATTCACTACTACACCATCCCCAAGAGGTGGCTATGATGTCAGAAGCATCATGAAGGCACCCTGATCAGATTGGTCTCCACTCCATAAGGAGGTACAGCAGAGAATGCTGGTGGATCGGGCACATTCCAGGAAAGACCACACATGAAGCTGAATGCAGGGACACCACTTCAGACTGGAGGTGGGAAATGCCTTTTTGAATGCTCCTCCATCCAAAAACAAAACAAACCCTCTCCATCTGTTTAAAAAAAACCCTAACGCACAGCGTGTCAGGGAGAAAAGTTCCAGCCCAGTCTATTCCCAGCTGTGCTATTTGCAAGGCACTTTTCTTTCATGGAGAAACATTAAAATATGGCTTGTAATGGTACAATCTATCATACTACCTCAGAAATCCCCCACCATACAGCACAAGTTTCCCCATTCACTATACAGGATTGATCAGGTTCCACATATGACTAATACATGAAGCTTTTCTTTAAGCTAACTAGTGGGGCCCCCCCAAAGCATTTCTAAAAGATACAAGAGACATTTGTGAGACATCTGTGAATGATTCCTCTTCTGAAAATTCTACTCATGCCACATTACAAGATATGCCAGTGATGGTGGGCAAAGGATTTTATTAAATTGTTAATATTTTGTTATAGGGGGCTTTAATGGTTTTAGGGTAATAGTCTTTAAGAATAATGTTTTTAAATATTATTTCTACCAAACATATATAGGAGCGGAATGCCTTTCCGCTAAACAAGGGAAAAAAACGTTTAAATGACTTTTGCCAGAAATGAACATGTACTGGACCATCAAAGTGTGAATGATGTATAAAACTAAGAATTATAAACCGATTTCTAGGATTTTGGAGTGGGAAGACATATAGATGGCATGCCACAAGTGTATCACAGCTGCATATGGAAACGGAGTTTACAGGTTTGAAAACACAGATTATTATCACAATTTCCTTTGAGCAAAAATACAGAATTTGGCAGCATATGTGAAAAAAAAAACATTTATATACATATAAATACAAATATTCATATTTGTACCTGTCCTAAGGGGAAAACATAATAGAATCAAAGCATCACTGTATGAAACAGAGAGCTAAAAAACAGGGAAGTGCCAAAACATAACTCTCAGAAGCAGCAATAGATTTATATTGGCCAAAAGCTTGGCAAGAAGCAAAGGTGTCAACAAAACACCAAAAAGAGAACAAAGAGATGTTCCTCCCAAGGCAGGGACCCAAAAAGACCCTGTCCCATGTCTGACACAGGCTTCGGATGGCAACAGAAGCCAAATGTGAGAGGGCAGACCCTCACATATGGAAGCAAACTTCTACCACCAATGATTGGTGCTGCAGCACTGGCTGCTATTGCAAAACCTTCGGGTGAAATATTGACATGGAGATTCTGAGAAAGAAGGAATCTTAAGAAATAAGTAAAATGCAAGTGAGAGAGAAACTGTCTGTTGTATTTGAGGATTAAAAGAAAAACAGGGAAAGGTGGAGGCTGACAGCTAGAGTGTCACAGCTAGAGTGCCACACTAACAACCTAAGAAAAGCCATGCTGGATCGGACCAGTGGTCCACACCCAGTCCAGCACTCCATTCACATGCTGCCCACAGGATCCCTCAAGCAGGATGGGTGCAAGTCTTCTGCTTGTTCATGATCTTCGGCAACAGGTGCATGCAGGCATGCAACCTCTGGTAACAGAGATAGCATGGAGCCAGCAAGGTTAGTTGCCATTGATAGCCTTCTCCATGAAGTTATCCAATCTCCTTTTAAAGCCATCCAAAGCAGTGGGCATCACGTCTTCTGGTGGCAGTTCATATTCCCACTCAGTCATGGAAATTAATATGTGATCTTGGGCCAATCTCACTTGCAGCCTTACCTATGTCACAGGGTTCTTAAGAGAATAAATGTGGGGGAACCTATTTATGCAACTTTGAGCCACTCTAGAGAAACATGGAATAAAATGAAATAGTCCTTCCTTCCTTTTTCTTTTAATTGTTCCAGAATAACTGTTGTCTGCTTTCTGTAACTGGCTGAAGTAGCAAGGCTGCTGTTGATTATTGTTCTTATAACATTTATGCCGTAAAAATACTCGGCCACTATTTGACCAAACATTTTTGATCAACTGATAAATCTT